TCTCAATGGAGAATTACAAGAAGAAATCATAAGGACCAACCAATAGGTTTTATTAGAGAAGGTCAAGAACACAAAGTGTGGAGACTTTTAAAGTCAATATGGCCTCAAGCAGTCCTCAAGACAGTGGTATATTCGATTTCATAATGCGATAATGTCGTATGATTTCAAAATGATAAATGAAGATCACTGTGTATGCAAAGAGATCCATAACAATTGTTATATTATCATATATAGTTGATGTATATATTATAGCTGGAAATGATAAGGTATTGTCAATGAAATCAAAGGATGGTTATCATCTCATTTTGAGATGAAAATGGGGTGAAGCTGCATATATTTTGGAGTCAAGATTTCAAGGGATCGCTCAAGAAAATTAGATCTCTTTCACAAAAACCATACATTAAGAAAATTCTTGAACGATTTCATATGCAAGATTGAAACCATAGACAACCCTATCGCGAAAGGCGAGACTTTGAGTCGTAAAATATGTCCGAAGACTCCACAAGAAAAGGAAAATGAAGAATGTTCCATACAAGTGCTATTGGATAGTCATGTAAGCCTGATGTGCACTAGAGCGACATTTGTTATGCCGTTGGGTGGTGAAGTAGATATCAGTCTGACCCAGGACAAGCACATTGGAAAGCAATGAAAAGAATCTTAAGATATCTAAAAGGAACAAATACGATTACTCATTATGTTATCAAGAAAATGATTTACACTTGAGAGGGTACCCAATGCTGATTGGGGAGGAGATTTAGATGAAAGAAATCTACTTCCGGATATGTTTTCTTACTAAATGGTGGGGCCATTCTTGGAGCGGTAAGAAACTCATGTAAGCCTTATCTACAATGGAGGTTGAGTTTGTAGCATTTCAGCTGCAGTGCAAGAAGCCGTTTGGTTGAGACGGTTCATGAATCATCTGAGAATAATTAATGTTGCTATTGAAACAGTAAGAATAAACTGCGATAGTCAAGCAGCAATAGCATACACTAAGGATCCCAAATATCATAGTAAAACGAACAGATAGTATCAAATATAATTTTGTGCGAGACTTGGTAGCACAAAAGGAGGTGAACATAAAGTACATATCTATGCATGACATGGTTGCGATACCATTCACAAAGCATATACCAAGAAATACTTTCAATAGACATGTTAGATCTCTAGGTACCAACCACATTAGTTTGCATGTTTTTTTATTAAAAGGAATTAAATAAAACGACTTGTCATTTATAAGGTTGGATTCAAAACGACATGTCGGTCCTTGTCGTCTTCAACCTCTGTCCGGGTCTGCAACTGGGTACCCAACCCGGAAATCAACCCATACGAAACCCGAAACTTTAAAGAGGCATATCTAAGTCATTTTAACTCCATTTTTTATGATTCAAAAACCATTTTCTTCATAATTTCATAAGGAATCTAATAGTCTAATTATTATTACCAAAAAGACAACTTTTTACGTACAAAATTTGAAAAATTCAGAACTACATTTGATAAACCAGTAACATGCTTTAACATAACAATATGAATTTAAAACAATATGAACCACGGCTCTGATACCAATGTTGGAAATAACACAGAATAACATATATCCTAAAGTAATCCCAAGATCATAGCCACCCATTGCAATCACATTTGTATATAAACGAACTACAATGAATTTACACAGCATAAATACCTCTTCTCCTTATCTATGAAGTAATAAATTGAATCTGGAAGAAAACCACGAAGAGTATTTTTCTTTTCCAATTTTAGAGAGAGAGAGCGTATTTTTCCTTTGCGTATTTTTGAGTAACAGTGAGTAACTCTTACTAAAAAGAAAAACTTTCTTTTTATATGGGAGCGGTTCGTGAGAAACTACTTTGGTAGTTTCCACTTCTCACGCCCCTTCATCATGGGTGTACTTATCCAATAGTTTGGGATTTGGGTCGGGCCCAGGCTGAAAATCAGTCCCCGAATTCGGGGATGGGATTGGTCTCGCCCTAGGCCCGAATTGTCCCCGCCCCGACTTCCCCGACTTGACCCGTATCTGTAATAATAATAATAATAATAATAATAATAATAATAATTATAATTATTATTATTATTATATATAGTAAGGTTTAATTTTAACCGTTTAATCCTATATTAATTTGAATAGTTGAAAATCAATCAATGAAGCCATAAATTATACAAGAACATATTAAAATTGTGTAAGTATTTTATGAAACCATATACAAATGGGTAAATATTTGGAGTAAGGTTTAATTTTAACCATTTGATCCTATATTAATTTGAATAATTGAAAATCAATCAATGAAGCCATAAATTATATAAAAAAATTATGATTGTGTATTTGTGTGAGTATTTTATGAAACCATATACACATGGGTAAATATTTGTAGTAAGGTTTAATTTTAACCATTTAATCCTATATTAATTTGAATAGTTGAAAATCAATCAATGAAGCCATAAATTACACAAGAACAAATTATGATTGTGTGAGTATTTTATAAAACCATATACAAATGGGTAAATATTTGTAGTAAGGTTTAATTTTAACAATTTAATCCTATATTAATTTGAATAGTTGAAAATCAATCAATGAAGCCATAAATTATACAAAAAACAAATTATAATTGTGTGAGTATATATTTTATGAAATCATATAAAAATGGGTAATAAATAATAATAGATTAAATATAATAAATATTTATAAATATTTGTAATACATAATAAATATGTTATATATGTACAATGTATAATTTGATATACATAATATATATGTTATATATGTATATTATATCATTTGAATTTTGATATATATAATATATATATGTATAATGTATAATGTATATGTATTATGTTTAATATGTACATTTAATTTCTTTTTGGATGATATACAATATAATTTGGAGAAAGTGATAAGATAGGCTCAAGGATGCAAAACCCCCACACAGGGATTTCAGAGATTCCCTAATTCCTTGTTTGGGGATTCTCCGAATTCCCCGTTTAGGCTTCGGGTCAGGACTGGGGAATCCCCTAGGGCTTTCAGGTTGAGGTTAGAGACAGAGGTCCTCGACTTGTGCCTATCCCTACTCTTGAGTGTATTACTCAAGAGGTCTTGAGTTTGAGTCCCTCATCGATTGCTAATGGAGGTAGTTACTAGAGCTCTTACATGGCCGGTAGTTTCAGGGTTCGAGGGATTAGTTGAGATGCACGTAAGCTGACTTGGACATCCCCGATCATAAAAGAAAAAAAAAAAATCACTTAATTAGGACCCAAATGGGTTATTTTATTTTGCTTTAGATTGTTTTCTTTAGTAATTGTGGTCCCTGATCTTTCTCTAAGCGGCCATTAAATTTGCGTTTAAACAAATTAAGATATATTTAATTTAATAATACAAAATATTTGCTTTATTATTGCTTATCAACTACATGTCATTAGTGTCGTTAGATTTAATTTAATTGTAAGTTTATAGTCAACTTATCATATAACTTATTTTATATTACAATAACGAGTTATTTATTAAGTGGATATATTTATAAATAATTCCTAGAATAATATAACACAGGATATGAAAATCTATCCAATTCTTATATTAACAATATCAGGGCGTATCATTAGGAAAATCTACCCCATGTGTTCCATGATGAAATATGAAATTTCCATAGAAATGTAGTGTGGTATATCTCTCACAAATAAAATACTACAACTTATCATATAACTAACTACGTCAATGCCATTGATGTGCTCAGAATTGCATACTTTCTTCTAGTTGCCATGGGGCCTTCACTTGAAGTAAAAGAGCAGAGCAATGAGAATGAACAGCTACTCTCCACTCTTCCCATGGTGGAGCTCAAGGATGGCGTTCGTCTCTATCAGTACAAAGGGTTTTGGATTCCATCTCCTTTTCTTCATCCCTTCATTTTCAATCAACCCATTTTTCAATTACAAGACACTGACATAGTCCTCTCTACATTTCCGAAATCAGGCACCACTTGGCTGAAGGCTCTCGCTTTTGCCATCGTCAATCGTTCTCATTATCCTTTGAAACATAGCCCCTTGCTCACAAACAATTCTCACCAGCTTGCGCCTTGTCTAGAGAGTGATCTTTATGCGAAAATTCAATCTCCTCCTCGTCTTCAAGATTATGGCAACTCATTCTCCATATGGGTTACTTCCAGTTTCTATCTTGAACTGCAATTGTCGCATTGTTTATTTGTGCAGGAATCCTTTGGATCAGTTCGTCTCCCACTGGCATTTCAGGGTTCGACTTCGAGAGCAAACCCTGTTGCCGGTTTCACTCGAGGAAGCTTTCGAGATGATGTGTGATGGAGTTCAATCCTTTGGCCCCATTTGGGGACATATGTTGGAGTATTGGAGGGCTAGCATAGAACAACCTGAGAAGATACTGTTCTTGAAATATGAAGATTTGAAAGAGGATATCAAGTTTTAGGTTAAGAAATTGGCTAATTTTTTAGGGTGTCCTTTCTCTGAGGAAGAAGAGAGCCAAGAGATGATAAAGGAAATTGCTAAGTTGTGTAGTTTTGATAACATGAATAGTTTGGAAGTCAACAAGAAGGGAAAGTTCTCTAATGGGTTTAAAAATGACTTGTTCTTCAGGAAAGGTGAGGTGGGAGATTGGAAAAAACACTTGACACCTTCAATGGCAGAACGATTTGAGAAATTACTGGAAGAAAAGTTAGAGGGATCAGGTTTAACTTTCAAGAAATTATAAATGAAAGATGTTGATTATGCTTTTGAGTTTGTTTCATTTTCGAATTGTGTATATGGTAGGTTGTGTATCGTTTTATATTAATAAAAAGAAAATTGATTGTTTTGGTTCTCATGATTTGGAATAACTCCACCAGAGGCTGATATATACAAAACAAAATTTTGACAACACAGATGAGGCAATCTCAAGAGAACGCCATAAATATTATTAACTATCAGAAAAGGGGCGGAAATGCAAATTTAGATGAACTAACATATCAACTCTAGGAATGTACAGAACAGACTGACAAAAAATAAATAAATAAATAAAGTAACAAATAATCCAGGTACAGTTACAATTACAATAAATCACCTGTCTAGACTTGAAGAAATTAACGTCGTCTTTTGGCATCGCTTTTCTGTTTACAGAGAGAGAGAGAGAGAACTAATATAATGCAGCTACCATTGTCACATAAAGTAAGTAATACAGGCTTCTTCTATATCTGAGAATGGACTTACATCAGCTGCTGATTGACTTCATCTTGACCCTTAAATCTTCTGAAGAGGTACATCAAATGCGTACAAAAGATGGCAGCTAAATTCACTCTTCAGATAAGCAACAGGTGAGTAGATGGTAGTACCAACTAACTTAGCTGATAAATTATGTCGTCATTGGCTGGAAGATCTGAGATAAAATTCTTCTAGCATCAAAGAAAGTGGGACTTAAAGGGAAAAGATTCCCCTAAAAAATTCTGCAGCTCAGGGTCTCTTGTGGACCGAAAAGAATAAAAAGCAAGGTTAGTAGTTAATGGGTTGAAAGAATGGAAATGAATGACAATAATAGGCAAAGCCATGTTATTGAAACTGATTCCTGACATAAGACGACATCATAATATTCATAGGGGAGAGACTGCAGGTATCAGTCTTTTGATATTAGCTCCTAGAAACTGAAGCTTGGCATCTAAATTCTCATAACCACGGTCAACATGAGCAATGCCATTAATCTCAGTAGTTCCTTCTGCAGCCAATCCAGCTAACACCAGTGACACACCACCTCTCAAGTCTGCAGCATCAACCCTAGACCCACGTAGGTTACTGTCGAAGAAATTTAAAGGGATTAGCACAAGCCAATCCAATGTTCAATTACTATAAATTTCATACACCCTTACAGCAGAAAACAATGTACCTTCCTTTCTCCCTCCCAAAAACCAGTGCAGTGCTCCCACAGACGTGAATCTCTGCTCCAAGCTTTTGCATTTCTCGCACTATCATAAATAAGGACCAAAATTAGACATATTATAGTTAGTGTGATAGAGAATGAAACACATGCAGCACTATATGCTTCTAGGTGAAGAAGTTATGTGGAACATTGATCTATTTAAAATAAATAAATAAATAAGAGCAGCGTTCTGTTCGAACTTTTGATGGCCAATGAAGTCACAAATTTTTAGTAAAAATCAAGAAATTCACCACAAAGGATTAAGAAGTAATTGCTGCATAGTTCTGCAATTTGTCAATATAGTCTTAAGCGTCACAGACTCTCTCTCTCTCTCTCTCTCTCACACACACACAATAAAATAAGGTATAATTTTAACAGTGTAAGTGCCTAAAAGAAAATCCTTTAAGCTGAACCAATGAACTCAATTTCAAGACCTCTAAGCAAAATGAATTCCATTCTTGCATGTGTTTAAGAAATGAAAACTAAACTTAGCACACTAGCACCATAGCAGGAAAAAGTGCAACTGAATTTATAAGCATGTGTATCTGATTAATTGACCACATACCATGGCCCATGCGTTTGTCAAACACAGATTCCTCCACTATACTTAAACCATTACATGTAGTGAGCAATGCCATTGTTTGAGGTTGGAGATCTGTAGGAAACCCAGGAAATGGACTTGTCTTAACATCAAAACCTTGCAGATTCTCACCAACATCTGCTGGGACTGCTGAAACCTAGAGTGACAATCAGTTAATGCCTCCAGATGCGAGAGGGAAATTGGACAAAAAATGAAATAAAGCAAAAAATTTATTACCTGAAAGGTGTCATGGTTACGTTGTGTAATTTTGCAACCAGAAATTGTTAGTTTGTCAATCAAACGTGAGACGTAGGAAGGAATCACAGGTGATATTGATATGCATGAGCGAGTAATTGCTGCAGCAATCATAAAAGTCCCTACTTCAATTCGATCTGGTGGCACAACGCATTCAGAACCATGCATTTTAAATTTTCCCTTAATTAGAAGCTTGTCACTCCCACCTCCAATCACACAAGCTCCACTGTCATTCAGAAAACGAGCAAGATCAATAACTTCTGGTTCCTGTGGGGAAAATTTGAGGGAAGAACTCACTTCAAAAATTCAATTTATTCCAACAGATTAGGCCTATATGCCCTTCCGTTATCCTCACAGCCAAAAAGTAAAAAACACAGTGAGATTTCATAATCATACTTTGGCAACATTTGAAAGTACGGTCACTCCATCAGCCATGGATGCTGCCATCATAAGAGTTTCGGTTGCCCCAACACTTGGGTAATCAAGGTGGAAATTGCCCCCGATCAATCCTCTGCCATTTGCAGCACATGCTAGCACTTTCCCATCCCTGTAATGTTGAACAATTTTCACTTTTAGTCAACTCTTCACATAACTGTAAATAATGATCAATTAGATCTAATTTACATTTTGATTATCAGTCATAGCAAGTGAACCCACTTGCATTTTATTCTTCTGGCCAGAACCCACTTTTTCTTGCCTGTTTATAGATTCCCGGTATTATTTTAAGCATTTGTAAGTAACCACGCTTAAAGTTACGCCATCATTGATGCCAGACAAATTTCACGTTAGAAAATGTTGGTCCAAAAGAAAGCTGTCTACTTGAGCTTTAATCTAATTGATGACCAATTTCAACCAAGCTTTTGGATAGTTCTCCATCAAGTGCCTAGCTTACAGTGAAGGAAAATTTATTAAGTCCTTTCATCATTGTTTAAGACAAGATAAAGGTATTCCTTCTACACCAAAAGATCACAAAAAACTGTCGAGTCTTTTCTCATCGCTTCCAGTTCCAAAAAGCTTTGCTATAACCCGCATCTATTCTTTTTAACAAGTGAAACAGATGAGGCTCACATTATGCTTCTTCCTAGAGAAAAAAAATGCCAAGAAAACATTCTAAAAAGCCACGCATCCACACCAGCCAATCAGGTTCTGTTATAGCCAAGGAAGAAATTGGTTAACTGTGATGCTAGATTGCTCAATCCCAAACCAGAACACTCCCATCTAAGTGAACAACCCACATTATCATCAACCTTATGTAATAATAACATTGGAAACAAACACATTGCATCCTTCTTATTTTCCAACTACTAATCAATTCTTCACTAAGTATGACACTAGGATTATCTCTAGACCACTAACAATTTCTTATTTTACTCCTACTTTCACTCGTTAATCACCACCAAAGAAATTCATCAAATTAACGTCTTCATCTACATATCACTTCCCACTTCCCCAAATTCATAAACAAACAAGAATTTATTCTACACATTCATCACAGATCAGCAATAAAAAGAAGTTTCTTCCACAAAATCATAATTAATAATAATTATGAATGTATTGCACTATATAACAGAACAAAGTAAAAATCCCCACTTAATCAACACGAACAAAAATTCTTTAAAAACCATAACATCCGAACCCATTTAGCAGCACTTTAAAAGAAAAAAATTTATGATCCTCCACTCAACAAAATGCTAATGAAAATCAAATAAATCAACTTATTAAAAAAAAAAAGAAAAAACCAATTAAAAAACCACTTGCCTCAACTCAACGACAGCTCCAAGAGCTCTCAACCCACGAACGTACAAGTCAACAGGCCTCTCCCCAATGTCACACCCACCAGGCAAACCCACTATCGCTTCACCAAACCGGGCCAGCAACGGCCCGATGACAAAAAACCCACCACGAATCTTCCGCATTTCCTCCAAACACGGTTCAACACACCTAATACCATCACTGTTAACCAAAATTCGCTTCCTTCTAACGTCAACCTGGGTCTTGACACCCAATGAGTTCAAAATCGAAAGCATGGATTGGATGTCAGTTAAGTCGGTGGGTACATTGTGAAGCAAAGAAGAGTTGGAGCATAAGAGAGTTGCAGCGAGGAGAGAAAGAGAAGAATTTTTGGAGCCGGATATGGAGACCTGACCCGAGAGAGACGTGGGTCCAGTTATGGTGAGAGTTTGGGGAATTCGGGTATGGGTTATTTGGGTTTGGGTTTGGGTACGAGGAAGAGAGGAATAAAGAGAGAGAGTGTAGGGTTTTAGGGGTTTTAGATGAGGGAGAGAGGTCGTCATTTTGCAGACATGGAGGAAGACGCAGGTAGAGGCGCAAAAAAAGCTTAAAGGTTACATAAGCGAGCTTTGAAAAATGACTAATGTTACGTTAACTAATTAATTTGTAATAACTTAACAACTAATATTGAAAATTTAAAATTTCAAAGAAATAAAATTTAAATTTTCAATGTTAGTACTTGGATTAGTTTAAATTGGTTAGTGTACATAGTATTATTCTTGAAAAATTATATTAAACGGAAATAGTGTAATGTGAAACAGTGAAAGTAAAGTGATGATCTACATGTTAAAATTAACACGTATATGAAAATTAAGTTCACATTTGTGAGATTATATATATACACACCAGAGGGAACACATGATCATTGCACACAAAGAGGAGATATGCAGAGATTAAAACTTAAATAAACTTAAAATTTAAATAACATTAATTTAAATAATCTTACAACTTAATAAGACAACGGCGGCAGAGCCGCACTGGAATCATATTAAGAAATAAGATTAATTCTTAACTAGGTAAAGGTGGCAGTGCTGCACTGGAACCAAATTAAGTGATGAACAAAAATTTAAAGAAACAAAGGACACAAATAAAACTTAAATAAACATTAAAACCAAACATGATGAATGATGAAGAGATTAATGAAAGAACTAGAACTTGAAAGATTAAAAGAGAATAATCAAAGAACTTGAAAGATTAAACATTGAATGATTATTGAAAGAAATTGACAATGAAAACTTTCTTTTTGGAGAGCTTCGAGAGGTTTACATCAAAAGAGAGTGAAAGAGAAAGTTTTAAAATTGGCTTGGTAAAGCTTGGTTCATATTGCACGAATCCTCCTAATTTATAGAAATCTTATCTTACTATAGCATCACATGAATACTATTGAGTGAATATTTTAATCTTTTTTTTTTTTTTAAAGAGCATTAAATGTCTTTTTGGTAGGGAATCTCTGACTCTTCAATATTATGCCAGATATTCTCTGAATCTGATGTCGATTTTTTGGCTAGTCTTCTCTTTGAGAGAAGCTGTAATTTCGAACTGTTTGAAATAACTTAGATGATTCCATAACAGTCATCTTCATTGCTCTGGGCGAGATTGACCGAGGCACTAGAGCTTCGGTAAGATCCTTCTCCATCTTCTTCTTCATCTTGGAGTTGTGAAAGAATAGTCTTGAGATGGTCTTTAAGTTCTTGTTTTGTCTTTTCTCCTGCTAAGGACACTGATGCCACAGTTTTTTTTTTATAAAAAATTGGCAATTGCAGGGGTAATTGCCTGAATTTGATGAGGTGAACTTGAGAGACAGAGTTGAATTTTTTCTTTGGACACGTGGGATGCATCAAATTTATCCCACCACTTGACTTTAAATTTCCGGATCAAATTAGGGAGATTGCTAATATTTTGGACAATTTCATATTCCCATTGTAAAATCCACGAGAGGTGGAACTTTGCTGAGAAATGAAGTGATGGAGGGAAGTTTGAATTTGCTTCGGAAACTTTGAACTTGAGCTTGAACTCATTGAATCCTTCATGGACAGTTAGGGGTAGGATTTCGGAAATTAATCCAAAATGATCCCACCATTGGGAAATTTGAATAAAGTGTTCCTTTTGAAGTAAATCATCCAGGAGTTCCTGTGATGACTGTTTTGGAGAAAGAGTGATCTGTTCCAGGCCCTTTGATAGTCCCAGTAATTATATCCAAGTGGATCAAAGTTTTGGGAAATTTTTTTGAATTGGTTTGGGTTGGATCCCCAATCAGAAGGACTAAGGATTTTCATAATATGAAAGGTTGAATGAGTGATAAATCCTGGTTGGTTTTTATCCTCACAGTGTTTAAACTCACAAGAGTCAGAATCAACAAGAAGAAATTCATAAAATTTTTGAGTTTTCCATAAATCTTCAGGGACAAAATGAAAATTTTGTGGAAAAATTTGTTGAACTAATTGTTTAGGGTTTTCATAATCATATCCTTCTTCGAAAACCAAAAGATTAGTTGCAATTCCTTTTTGAATATATTTTTGTCCTGGTTTAAGGGCTTTTAATGGTGTAGCCGCAGGAACAAGTTCTTTGTTTTTTGAAAGAGCAATTTGAGCTTCCTTTTGCAATGTGCTTAGTGAAATTTTTTCACATTGGGAAAATTCTTGGGAATTTTTTGGAAGAGTTTGAGGTTTTTTAAATTTCAAAATCTCATTTTTTGGTAAATTTGGTGTTAACCCAATCATAGCTAAGCCTGCTTTTGGACTTTGCTGAAAAGAGCTGATCCAATTCTGGATTTGCTCTGTATTTGTTGGGCTTTGAGAAGAGCTTGTTGAGGCTATGCCTTTTTCTTTTGATTGTTGGGCCTTTTCTTGGGCTTCTTCTTCACATACGAGCTCATACCATGATTTGGTGTTTGTGGGCTTTTGGGCATAAAAAGCCTTTGATTGTTTTTGGGTGATTTGAGGATTGGTATTTTTGGGAGGCATGATGGTTATCTCCTTTGAAGGAATTCCCTGGTGAGGAAGTCAGGCAGTGAATTAGCTTCTCCTTTGACGTATTCAATGTCAAAATCAAACACACATAAAATTGCTTGCCATCTTGCAAAAATTTGTTTTGATGCAATATTTTGAACATCCTTTTGTAAAACATGTTTAGCAGTTTGACAATCAATATGAAGTAAAAATTTTTGATTGAGTAAATCACTTTGAAATTTGGAAATGCATAGGACAATGGATAAAATCTCTTTTTTGATAGTGGAGTATTTTTGTTGAGTTTCATTCCAANCAGGCGTGAGAGGGAGGCGTGAGATACTGAGATGGATTCGAATAAAGGACTTTTAGTTTTAGGGATTCTTCAAAAGAATCAAAACAGAATAGAAGGGTTATACGGGTGCCCGCGGGTGCCCACAGGTTCACCCGTATGACCCGTAATTTATTGGACCGGGTACGGGTATGGGTCAAATAAAAATGGGTTTAGTTTATTGAACCCATACCCTATATTTTTTACCCGGGTACGGACCGACCCGCGGGTCCATACCCGTTTTGCCAGGTCTAGTTAATATTAACTCATCCGCTTGATTTAAAAAAGTGTTATAGAGGGTTTTTCATAGTTTTTTTAAAAGGTTTTAAGTACTTTTTAAGGGAATAAGTTTACTAAACATCTGGGAAAATGAAATAAACCTTTTATAAATATATTTCTTTTGACAAGATATTTTGGCAAGTCAAAAATATTTTTAATTTGCTTTAGTTGCAACTCAAGAAGAAAATAATCTATATATATAAAGCTTTAATATATATATATATAAAGCTGAATACCCATGCGGGTTATTCGTTATGTGACATGTTTTGGAACTTAGAGAATTGTTCCATTTTGACACATAAGATTTGTGGTTGTTATGTGGTTGAATTTTATTAGTGATGTTGTAGAGAGATATTAATTACTGAATTGATATTCCAAATCCAAAGGTAAAAGTAGACCTGACAAACGGGCGAGTACCGGTCGGGTAGATGCAGGTAACAGGTAAAACAGGTACGGATAGTAGGGGTGAGCACGGGTAGCGAGTAGAACCGGAACCGGAATCGAAACCTACCCAAAACCGGCACTGTGCGGGTAGGTTCCGGTTCCATTTTATTGAAACCGACACTGTGTGATTCCGGTTCTTATGTGTGAAGGAATCGGAACTGGAACCGGAACCTGAAAAAAGAACCGATTTTTGGAACATATTTGGAACCTGTTTTAGAACCTAGACTGCAATGAAAATATGAAATATTTGTGAAATGTGAATAAATAATAATGGGGGGTTTCTATTATTTTATATATAAAAAAATTTAAAATAGAAAAAGTTAAATTTTTAGAATAACCTAATTAAATAAATATACAATTATACTAATTACATATAAATTACACTATATTAAAAACTTTAATATATTATAATATATTAATATTAAAGTTTTGATTAATTAAGTGAATAATTGGAATTATGATCCAATTAAAAGTGTTTTAATGTTATTAAAAGAATTACTTTTGAATAAAATAGTATATTTGATTGAATAATAATATATTTAGTTATTTACTTCAATTATCAAGTTCTAAGTATATCTATAGTAAATTAACAATTAATTAATTATATATGATAAATTGATAAACATTAATAAATTTAATTACTAGTTAAATATCATATTTAATCAATTATAACATTACATTATAGTTAAATGATTACTTAATTAATTATAATTTTATAACATTACTTGATTGATTAGAGTATAATTAATTATAACATTACATTAATTGATTACTACTTCATTAATCGACTTATAAGCTATAACATTTAGTATATTATTTAATTAAATAATTAGAAATTTAATTAATTATAGCATTACATTATAGATTTATAGTATAATTACTTAATCAATTATAACATTTCATTATAAATATTAGTACAAACTTAATTGAATGATTAAAAATTTAATTAATTATAATATTACATTAAAAATTTATAGTATGATTACTTAATTCACTATAACATTACATTATAGTATAATTACATAATTAATTATAATATTACATAATTAAATGACTACTTAATTGATTATGACATTATATTATAAATATTAGTAATTACTAATTTACTACATAAACATTAGCATAATACTTAATTAAATGATTAGAAATTTAATTAATTACAACATTACATTATAAATTTATAGTACGATTACTTAATTAATTGTAACATTACATTATAATTAAATGATCATTTAATTAATTATAGCATTCTATTATAAACAAATTAATTATAAATTTATAATATTATATTAAAGATTTATAGTATGATTACTTAATTCATTATAGTATAATTATATAATTAGTTATAACATTACATAATTAGATGATTATTTAATTGATTATGACATTATATTATAAACATTAATTGTAACATTACATTATAAATAAATGATTACTTAATTAAATGATCATAAATTTAATTCATTAAGCATTAAATTATAGTTAAATAATTATTTAATTAAATTATAACATTA